CGTCACCAACGATCTTCTCACCTTCGCTGCGGCTGCACTCCACGACATAGACGAAGGTCCTGGCTGGTCCCCTCCATCTTGCATGAACTCCTTCAGGTTGAGATTGTCGCAGATTGTAATTGCAGCTCCTTTTCGATCCTCCTCCCCGGTTGCCCCTATTGTCGTAGTAGTCGCTCCCAAAGGTTTCACCACCTCAAGGAATTCCGTCATCATAGGGGTTTGCCACGCGTCAATTCCATCTTTTGCTTCGGAAACCCCAGTAGGATCTCCCGGGTTGCTCATCATCCAACCCACCGGCCTTCCCTTGGAGCACGTGTGAGCTACCAGGTACAAAAGGATCTGCCTTGCGGTGAGCGAGGTCTCCTTGTTCACATAGTACATCTCCGTTGGAGACAACCCGGTGATCCCATAGGGCTCCTCTTTGGTTCTCCAAGGCTTCGCATTCTTTTCTTTCACATACGGCCTGGGATCATATGTCTTCGCCGGCGGGCTCCCGATCACCGCCTTGACCCTTGAAGTCATTGCACCCCACATCAGTGCCTTGTAAGCCGGGCCCCGCATGCTCCAGCCACCATGCAACAGAATCTCCACGTTGATGATCACGACCTCCGAGTTGGTGTCAACGTTCACCTGGCCATTCAGCGACTGCACTGGGTCCTGCTTCAAGTTCTTGCCACCGTAAAGGTTTAGAACCCAGGCTTTGGACCGCATCAACTTCTTCCGGATTCTCCTTGACACAGGGAGGCCCTTCAGGTACTCCCAGCCAGATTTATCATTCGCCTCCACATTCGGAACCATTCCCATCAGCACCTCTTCAGGGAGTCCCTTGAAAATGGGCGATTTGTAGAGGGCCTGCAATCCGTCCACAACGCACCCTTCGGAGGCGTAGGCCGCGAGGTCTTGTCTCCAGTCCTCAGTTTTCGCCTCCATCATCCGAATCGCGTTGAGGCGGTCCTGCAGCTCCAGTGTCCTTTGGCGGAGCTCGTCCATCCTTCGCGACTCTAGCTCTGAGATCAACATTGCCGCCTGCACTGGGTCCGCTATCTCTGGGCAACCTGCTCGGATTCTCGTGCGGATGGTGCCGTACTTGGGGTGCTTCAGCATCAAGCCCCCTCGCGTCCACTTCAAGGTGCACCCGAGAAACTCAACGAGCCCCCCTAGGGGCAATATGGTCTGCGCTTCCTTCCCCTGGGCTGGATCCAGGATGATACTTCCTGCTGGGGTCTGACGTAGTAGGCGCTTCTCATCTCCAGCCAGCACCACGGGTACCTCCTTGCTCGTGAGGTGCTCTCGTTCATCTCGAGCGGGCCTCAGGACGTGCGTTGCTCCTGAGTCAAGAAGAGCACCGCGACTTTCATCTTCAGTGGTTTGCGGCGTGCTCACCTTGAGGGCCTTTAGCTTCATCTCGTCGAGCTGGCGCTGGATGGACTCATATGTTGGTGCCCCTGATGTGGTAGTGGTTGCTGGGGTTGTCGTTGCCATCATGGTCTTCAGCATTTGGTGGGCGTCGGTGAGGATCTGCTGGAGGTCCCCCGGGGGCTCCTTGCTTGAGCTCGCTGGGCTGCCAGCCGGTGACGGCTCGGGACCAGGTTGCGGTGGTTCCTTTTGACCACCTCCAGTTGCCAACGATCTCGTAGCCGGGGAAGCCGCTGCCGTAGACGATGAAGTCACTGCCCCTCCGCCTTTATCTCCCTTCCCTTTGCCTTTGGGGCCAGAGGTAGGAGACTGCTGAGCTGGCTCTCCCTGCTTCTTCGTCGGGCAGTCCTTCTTCTGGTGTCCCAGGGCCGAGCATAGCAAACAACGTCCCGTTTTGGCCGTCGTCCCCCAATCATGTTGGAACTGGCACTCCGCTCCTCGACGACATCCATCATCTGACTTTGCAAACCATTTGCAGAGCCTTTCCTTCTTGTCTGGCCTCGCCTTCGCCCCTGGTGTTGCCGTAGTAGCTGTCGTAGCGTCCGGCGTAGCGGCTGCGCTCTTGATCCTTGGTGCGGACCGCGAAGCTGTAGAGGTCGCTGTGCTTAGAAGTTCCATTTCAGCTTGCAAGTGCTTATGGAAGTCCAACATCGTTTCTTCAGTTGGATTACTGTCTAGCTGCAACCGATTTCTCATCATCGTTGTTCTCAGCCATACGTCTTGGTTCTTGACGAGGACCGGCGCCACAATCAGCGCCAGGCCTTTCACCATGAGCACAGGATCAGGCACCGCGACCGTCAAGTCCTTGGCCCTCGAGAACCACCTTCCCCACTTCCTCAACGCCTGCACGGCCAGCTCCGGAGTGGCCACTCCCTCCGGGGTTGTCAGCTGCTCCAGAAGGAGCGTTTTCTCTTGCTCACCTCCCGGTCTGTAGGTCGTGAGCAGCTTGAACACGAATCAAAGCGATGACCCAGTAACCTTCTTCGTCACCATCTAGCTTTTCACCTCTGCCGGCAGAGCTCCCAGGATCATTCCCGCAGCCCTTGCATTGACCCGGCCATACTTTCCTTGCTCCAACCTTGAGTCCCGCGGCAAAGCCAGGGTGAGCTTCTCCATCGGCGTCGCAGTGACCCACTTCTTGTAGTGCTCGTCCGCCACCGCCCTCACTCCAGTCCACCATTCATGACTGGTGTCTGATAAGTCGCCCATGATCGAGCCGACCTCCTCCAGCCAGTCCTGGATATCCACTGGGCTAGTGTCCTTTCCAGGAGGGTCCAGATGAGGAAGGGAAGATATCCCTGGTTTCACGAGCTCGGGACCGTCATTCTTGTCCATCTGGCGAAGTTGTACTTCTTGCAGTTGCCGCATGCCTGTAGCGATCACACCCAAAAGTTCCATTGGGGTTGGCTGTGTTGTCGTCTCGGCGTCTGGACTCTTGGATCTGGCATCATTCTTTCCGGACCCCTCCTGACCCGAACGACCCTGTGACATCGGCTCTTGTGGATCCACCGCATGCGAAGCTTGATCACCTTGAGGTACGTACTGAGAGTGCAACGCCCGATCTCCATGAGGTACATCTTGAGAGTGCGACGCCCGATCTCCATGAGGTACTCCTTGCGAGTGCGACGCCCGATCTCCTTGAGGTACTCCTTGCGAGTGCAAAGCCCGATCTCCTTGAGGTACTCCTTGCGAGTGCAACGCCCGATCTCCATGAGGACGCCCGATCTCCATGAGGTACTCCCTGAGAGTGCAACGCCCGATCTCCATGAGGTACTCCCTGAGAGTGCAACGCCCGATCTCCATGAGGTACTCCTTGCGAGTGCAACGCCCGATCTCCATGAGGTACTCCCTGAGAGTGCAAAGCCCGATCTCCATGAGGTACTCCTTGCGAGTGCAACGCCCGATCTCCATGAGGTACTCCCTGAGAGTGCAAAGCCCGATCTCCATGAGGTACTCCTTGCGAGTGCAAAGCCCGATCTCCATGAGGTACTCCTTGCGAGTGCAACGCCCGATCTCCATGAGGTACTCCCTGAGAGTGCAAAGCCCGATCTCCTTGAGGTACTCCCTGAGAGTGCAAAGCCCGATCTCCTTGAGGTACTCCCTGAGAGTGCAAAGCCCGATCTCCTTGAGGTACTCCCTGAGAGTGCAAAGCCCGATCTCCTTGAGGTACTCCCTGAGATCTGACATTCGCCTCGGCGATCGCTTGTAGCTCATTTCGCTCTCGCCTGAGTTGGTCCACTTGCTGTCGTAGGCCCATCGTTTCATCACGATGCTGGTTCATGAACTCCTGGAGCTGCCTTTGAACTTCGGCCTGCACTGCTGATGAAGCCGTGGACGCTGAACCTCCATGTTCGGGTTGTGGTGGTACTCCATAGAGCGTAGGTGCTTCCATTTCCAAGGCCCTCAAACGCTGCATCTGTTCCGCACTGAACAGGCTTGTGGATGCCATCCGCCTTTCGGATCTACTCTGACTCGGCAGTTCCTCCGGTGGAGAGAAATTCAAAGCCTGCACCAGATTCCTTCGTGCCCTCGGGGACATCTGCTGGATGCGCTGCGGCGTGTGCTGTGCTTGTTGCTGAGGGAACATGAACTGTTGCATAGGTGCTGGCTGGTGATGCTGAGGCTGAGGTGCTGTTAGAGGTTGCTGGAGTGAAGGGGTTTCTTGGGTTCCCGTAATTCCCAAACCCTCTAAAACCCTTTCCTGCAAACCGCCCGCTCCCGTAGCCGTCGTCCTCAAGAAGTCAGTCAAACGCGCCACCCAGCGAACGACTCGACCTTGGTCTCCAGCAGCTCCATACATAACTTCCACGTCCCACGTCCTCGTCGCTTCGCGCGCCGAATCCGGTTCCGGGAGACTTCTTCCCGGTACTCCGTTGGTGCTAGCCTCCATCGCCAGCCGTTGAGTCGACTCTGGTGATAAAAACGGCCTGTCCACTGTCCCAGCGTCCACATCTGCCAGCGCCTCCACATGGGTCCTCGGTCCCACATGCCGCTCGGCACTCAGTCCCACAGGGGCAGCTTCTGTAGCCGCTCTCTCTCGCATCACTTCCCTTCGATGCCCTAAAGGGGCCGGGGGGACTCCGTTCGGCAGCTCTGGCCTGTCATGGTGAAGCCCTTGGCCCATTGCTCCATAAGCCGGGCCCATAGCTTCTCCTTCCAGAACTGGTAGTCGCGCATCTCGAGCTTGGGAACTCATAACCTGTGAAAGTCTTGAAGGGCTTGAGGAGTTCGAACGGGTTCGTCTTCGGTACAACGTGGTTGTCGAAAGGCTCACGGCGCCTTAAAACCAGCTCTCGACCATCAACCCTTCGCGCACTCCTATCGAATTTTTCCACGCAAGAGCATGTCAGCAAGCTTCTTTACAGTGCCTGCTATGCCAGTGACGGCTGTGCTTCTGCCGATCATGGCTGTGCTTCTGCTGATCATGCCTGTCTTTCTGCCGATCATGGCATGTTTTCCGCTTGAGCATGCGGATCAGCAACGATCATTAACAGCTCCACTGTTAGTCTATACACATGACCGTTCAAACTCAAGGCTGCATGCAGAGGTTTCTTCATACTCCTACTCTTGCTCCTGCTACCAAGGTGTACTATCTGTGCTGCTCATGCACACATCCTGGAGAACTCTGCCTCTTCATCACGTTCTATGTCCTGATGCGCCCGGGACGAAGCCCTGAGCCCGCAACCTCAAGCAAACGGTTTAGGACTTAGGGTTTAGGGTTCCTTACAGCCCGAAACTTGACTCGTTGTCAGACTTGCTTGGCTAGAGTTTTGCTGTTGTGTGTGGGTGTGTCAGACACTGTTGTGTGTTTGTGTTTCACTGGATCCAGATTGAAAGCTGCTTCGTCTTTACAATGTCGCGTACATAATATAGCAAGTGTAGTACTGATTATTGATTCAGGCTGTAGGGCTTTTTGCTTTGAAAGGTACGTCTATGTGGGGTAGACAAACTGTACCATGGTGGGAACAGGCTGTGTGCACGTCAAGGAAAGCCCAACATAGGTAGATAACCCCCTAACTTCCCTAAACCCTGAACCCTATACCCCTAAATCCCCTAAACCCTGGAACCCCTAACCCCTGCAGGTTCGTCTGGCTCATTGCCGCGGAAGTTCTTATCTTCGTATTCCTCTTCCCAGGCCGCCAAGATTCCAATATCCTTGAATTAAGAAATATACCCGAAGTATTATTAGGGGTCCTACTATAATTTAACGTATATTCCTCAATTAAGGGATATTAGACTAAATGAAAACCTTACAGAATCCCGAAAAGAAGCCCTTCATGAAGCCCGCAAAGACCTCGGAGGAAGCCCTTAACGAAACCATGAAGGAAGCCCTTACCCTAAGGCTCAAAATAGCCCAAAAGCCTTATATAACATGTTCTTTGGGCCCAAAAGCCTTAAAATATGAGTCCTTTGAGGCCTACCTTAACTCTGAATATCCCAAGGACTTCTAGAAGGAAATCATAATGAGGAGCCCTAAAACGGCAGGTTCTTCAGGGTTAGGTAAGGTACCCTAAACCCTAACCCTAAAACGCGGGCACCTTATGCCAGATTGGGGCCCCAACAGCCTGTGGGGAGCTCTTCGGTTCCCTGAGTCTCGTCATGGCTTGAGCTTTAGGGCCTTTAGGGTTTGGGGTTTAGGGTTTGGGGTTTAGGCTTTGGGGTTTAGGGTTTGGGGTTTAGGGTTTGGGGTTTAGGGTTCAGGGTTTCGGAGTTTTGGTTCAGGGTGTAGGATTTGTTTTCTTATAGCCTCGGAGTCTGGGCTGCTGTGACTTACGGCGTGCATGAGGAGGGTTCCTTTGCAGGCGCCATAGGTGCTTTGAGGGGTGGTTTAGGGTTTAGTGTCTTTGGGGTTTGCAGTGTTTAGGGTTTTAGTGTTTTAGGGTTTAGTGTCTTTAGGGTTTTTAGTGTTTAGGGTTTTAGGGTTTTAGGGTTTTAGGCCGTTTTGATCGTATCAGGTTTCAGTTCGGGGTTCTCATCAGGTTTCCCTGAATGTAGGGGTTCCAGCAAGACTTCCTTCAAGGATTTCGGAATCAGGTTTCCTTTAAGGATTTCCTGCAATGCTTCCTTCCAGGGTTTTGTGTCAGTTTTCTCGGGCGTGCCGCTTGGGGAGAGTACTTTGAATTCCCGACGTATCGCCTAAATCCTACAAAGACCCTACATCCTACGCCCTGGATCAACACCGAAATCCCTAATCCCTCCCACCAGACCCTATGCATCCTAAACCGATAGGGGGGATTAAATGTTTAGCCAGCACATATCACTTTAATTCGTCAGGCTTGTAGGTGTGTACGATGTTTGTGTGTATGTATATATGTATATGAAAATATGTAGGCATGTATGCAAGTAAGTAGGTGTGTGTACCCACACGTGCACAGCATTGTCAACATTACAGAGGAAGTCTAGACTATTTTGCTAGCTTCAAGAAATGCCAATGTTTAAAGATCGCTGCGTCTTATCACATTATTAACAGACGATTTAGTATTATTTCTGCTTTGACCATCCTTCTCCTTATTACCGTAATCATTTTCAGCATTGTTGACCCTTGCTACTATTATTCATATTGCTGCTCGGCGCTAGGCGTGACAGAACCTACTGCTCTGATGATTTCTCATTTTTTGTCGTTACGGCCCAGCTGTTACTTAGGAGACTCCAATATCCCTTAATTCAGGAATATACCTGAAGTCGTAGTATCCCTTACAGGGTCCCTGAAAGGAACCCTAACCCTAGGTATATTCCTTCATTAAGGGATTGTGGAGTCTCTGGGTACCCAGGAGACTTTGGAGGGCCTCACCGTCTCTCAGGCGCGAATCTCTGTAAAAGGCGTCGTATAAGGGATCTACAAAAAGAAGGTTCTATACTATAAAGGGATCTTTCAAAGCGGTCGTCTATGGTCTAATAAGAGGGTTCTATAGTATTATGGGATCCTTTAAACGGGTCCTATTTTATAAAGGGATCCTTCAAAGGGGTCTTATAAGGGATCTGTAACAAGAGGGTTCTATAGTATCCTTTGCCATCGTTGGGTGACATTTTACATATTATGGGTACCTAAACCCAATGAGGAATAAAAACTGTACGTTTTCATTCCTATCCCAACCATGAACAAGCATAGGGGCCTTGGCAGTTAGAATACGTAAAAAGTGGGGGCTCGGCTCTGAACCGCCACTGTTCAGGGTGAGCTTGAGCGGGTCTTTAGGGTTTACCTGGACCCCAAAAGTATGTAGAATTATAGCCTTTTTTCGGTTTTGGGCCATTATTTTACTTACTTTTGGGGGTCTAGGCAGGGGTCAGGGTTTAGTTATCTAAGTTTGGAATCCCTGTTGGGGTTCTTTTTTATAAGGGTTGCCGTAACATTTTGGGAAACCCTAAGAAGGCACTCTACTTCGGAGAACCCACAAAGTACCCCCATAGAAACCCTATATAGGTCCCTTTAAATCTAAGGAACACCCTCAAACCCTAAACCCTACCCTGAACCGCCCATAATCATATGTAGCCTTGACCAGTACTCCTCCATGGATGGCTTCCCGGAGATGCCGGTGCCGGGGTTCTTCAACGCGCGCCTCAACTGAAGGTTTTGGCTTACTCGAGTAGTTTTGTATTTGTATAGGGTTTAGGGCTTAGTTGAACAGCTTTGCGTTTAGGGGTCAGGGCTTACTCAAGTAGATTTGTTTTAGGGTTTAGGGTCAGGGTTTCTGCTCTACTCGTTTTGCAGTCTAGGGTGTAGGATACTACTGTACAGGATTTCTGCGTTAGGCCGTAGGCTTAGGCTTGGGGTCTATGTGGTCGACGGAGTCGAAGTGAAGTTCCAAATCTGCGAAGGATCGTGAAAACCCTGTCTCGGCAGTCGGCCCATCATGGCCATGACAGCCAAACTGGGTTTCTTCAAGAATAGAAGTCCAGTTTGGCGATGGTGTGAGATACTGTTGATGATATAAATCCTGCATTACCTTAAGGACCCTAAACTATGGGAATTATGGTATATTCCTTATTATGGGTCATGCAGGATTTATATCATCAACCGTAGCTCTATACTGTGTAGGGCCTGTAGTAGGGTCCCAGATGGTCCAGAGCATCCACGGATCTCGGTGAGGAATCTTCCGGGTTCAGGGGTCTTCGGGTTTCGGGTTCGGAGGTGCCAGTATATCTACGGCGCAGTTTGAGGTACTTGCTGTTAAAAGTTCAAGCAATGTAGCCGAGCATTGGTATTGGTATTGCGTTATGACAGGGGCCGTCATGCGGGACAGTCCTCAACATGTGCTTTAGGTGAGGACTGATAGCTTGAGACAACCGCCGAGTCCGAAGCATGTCGCACTTCTTGAGGAACCATAAACCCGCAACCCCAAACCCTAAACCCAAAAAGGCATCTCCATGTCCCTTTGTTTTCGCGCTCGGGACTCTTGTAGCGGTCGAACTACGCATCATCAAGCCTTTGTGTTCAGAGAGCTACTGGCCATACTCCATCAGGCACTCTAATGAAGATGAGTGCTCTTGATGCTTTTCAAGCTACATGCCTGTTAATACTTGTTGTCGTTACAAGAAGAATTAGGCCACTGGCCTTGACAACCAGCACTGCTGTCTTAGCTGTCCCCTCGTCCGATCCAGCTAACTCATAGTCTCTGTTCCCGTGCTTCCTCTAAGGGTCCATGTACCTATATAGCATGTTCACGGGCCTTAAAATAGTCCCTATATATATATATACACTATATTAGATTATATTATATATAGGTACTTTAGGGCCAGTATATGTTCTGTCTGACAGAGACAACCAATGCAAGACACCACATGAGGGCTCCAGCCTGGGTCAAGCTGGTCCAGTTCTTGATCTTCGTGGCTGAGGCACACTCAGGGCTTCGAATTTTTGGGCTGGGTATTAGGGTTTCGGCTTTGGGGTTTATTGTGGGGATCGTGGATAAGAGAATCCATGGGGACGGGAGAAGGTTCGCCTGGAATGCATCGGTTTCAGGATTTCGGGGTCCACAAATTAACTCAGGCCCGGGTATTTGGATTTTTGGGGCTTCGGGCCTGCTGAAACTGAGGGCTTTGGCGTGTGTGTTGTAGGGTTTAGGACATGGATGTGATACGGTTTTAGTGTTTATGGGATTTAGGGTTTATTATACGTAGGGTCTGTTAAAGCTGCTAAAGGGGATTGGGTTTAGGAGTTATAGGTTGGTTTTAGGCGAGAGCCCATAGGGTTACGGTTTATAGGGTTTTTATGTAATATCGGGACCTTAAGAATTGCATGTTTCTGTTTTGGGGGTTCCTGTTTAAATTTATAGTGTCAATGGGCCCTAAAACCCTGTTCTAATAATAAAGGCCCCTACATTAGGGTCGATGTGCTTTTGGGTTTGGGGCCTTGGGATTTGGATTCAAGGACTCGGCAAGTGGAGCTTCAAAGGGGGAAGGAGCAGATCCTGTGGTCTCCAGTGTAGTTCCTTGTTTTGGTTTAACTTATGACTGTACATAATTAGGATCCTATAAGGTAACACCAAAAGGAAGTACAATGGAGATTGTAGGATGTTTCAATCATAACTGACCTTCCTTAGACGTTTAGGGTTTCAGGGCCTTACGGACTTTCGATTGCAGCAGATTTAGGTCAAGGTTAGGTTAGTTTTCGGGAGACAGCAAAGTTGAACCAGATTCAGGTGTACATCCTGTGCTATGTCCTGCGTGCCCATGTGTCTCAGCAGCAATGCTGAAAGGAGCGGAGCCCCAAAGCAGCAAGCTCGAGGCTTAAGTTATAACCTCAAGCAGCCAATTATCGGGACATGCTGAGATGTTCCCGTTGTTGCTAGCATCATGCCATCTGTCTATGTATAATTATCACCACCATCTTCCTGTGTGACTGACTGCAACTGCAGGCCTAACGATAGACCGCATCTCGATCGACCCATGGTTGGGACTCGCAATATTCTTGGAAAGCCTTAAAGACAAAGGCGTGGGCCCCAAAGGACCTTGTTTTGGGTAATGATTTTTCTGAGATGACAGTTAAATACAATTACCCCAAACCTCGTTCTAAGTATGGCACCTACACTGTCCTAAACCACATCTACAGTCGGGACTTCTAGACGGGTGGTTGTCAAAACTAGGGTTCCTATAGGGCGTAGAGTCGTATAGGGCTCCCCAAAGGGCCATGATTTTGACAGTTTCCCCTGATGGGTCTTCCAAGTTCAATACCTGTGGCCCCCAAAACCCTCCCCTTGGACAGAAATCGATGTTTGTGTGTATATATATAGATATATACATGAACCACCCAAAGGGGTCCTGTGTACGGTTTTGGGGAAGACTTCCCCAAATCATAATACAAGTAGCAATTCCTAACATAGACACCCTACATTCTACTATATAGCTACTTTGGACCCTTTGGGCCATAGTTAGGAATCTATATACATATATATATATATATATATATATTTGGGGGGAACCATAATTAGGAATCCTTCAAAGGTAGGTTTTGTCGGCTGGTCAGACCTACACGACGAGGGCTCAAGGGTCAGGGTTTTGGAAGGGAGATCCGAGATGAATCCCGAGGTTGCGACTTGGGGGCCGAATGCAGGGGCCTGGTTTTAGGGTTTAGGGCTTTAGGGTTTTAGGGTTTAGGGTTTAGGGTTTTAGGGTTTAGGGTTTTAGGGTTTTGGGGTTTAGGGCTTTGGGTGGTTTAGGGCCCTAAACCCTGAACCGCTTTAAGCTTTCTGTGGGAGATGACTGTCTTAAAGTATGCGTACCATCAAGGGATACTACTGACACTTCCAACCACAATTTTCAGGCCAGTATTATCGGACCCTAACCCCCGAACCCTGAACCTCTGAACCCGAAATCCCAAATTAGATTTATCAGAGGGGAAGGGCAGCAGCAAGAAAAGAGCCCGCCAATTCTTACATGAACAGAAACTAAACCCTAAACCCTAAACCCTAAACTCCAGAACATAATATCCGCGGGCTCGGAACCCAAGAGCCCCCAATGTCTGTAAGTTACAACCCTAGGGCTCCATGTACCCATATAGTATATACTTATGCCTTAAAGTACCTATATAGGGACCCCTTGGAGGCTTAAGTATCTACTATAAAGGTACATGGAGCCTTTGGGAAAGCCTTATAGACCCTAGAAGCCTAATCCCAGGCATCGAAGCTCGACGATTGCCGCAAGCCGCGCAGCATGCAATCGGCAGACTGGTCCTAGGTATGTTGATTGCTGTTTCCGGAATATACCTATAGTCTCCATGGTAGTTCCGTTTTTTGGTTAACCAGCTTTATGGTTAGGAAGTTAGGATCCTATAATAGACTTGTTGGCTAACATAAAAAGAGGAACTGCAATGGAGACTATAGGTACGGCACTTCCTGGCATCTCCTAAGCAGCATTGGCCCCACGGGAATTCCAGAACGAACCGCGTGGTGGACCCTTTGTCAAGACATGTCATGACCACCATCTTTCTTCCCTTCCGGGACATGCTAGGGAGTTCATAATCATGTGAGTCGTAGTTTGGGGTCCCAGGCTGTTCGTCCGAAGGATTGCTTGCTTTGTCAGGCCTTGCATGGGTGTGAAGGATACTGAAGTCTGTCTGTCAGCATAGGCGATATGCGCAGCTCAATCCGGAACCGCAGGTTTTTCATATCAGACGCTGCTTTGTCTTCAGTGCCACATACGATGTCTCTCGGAGCTTCTTTTCCGGATTGCCATCTGGATACGGTGCGGGCGCGTCTGGTGCCAACTGACACAGAGATACAGGCCGCCCAGCACGTGATAGATCACCTGAAGGACAGGATCCAAGCCTGCATTCTGCCGGAGAAAACTTATGTTGGTGGGTCTTTCAGGAAGAAGACATGCCTTGCTCGCGACTTCGACGTGGACATGCTTGTGTTCCTTCAGGACTTCAGTGACACTGCCGTTGAGACGTGCAAAGCAAGCTTGCAGCATGCCTTGCAAGGGTCGCAGCATCGAGTGGTCAAAGTCGGCAAGCACATTCTGAAGCTCCATTACGCGATGGACTTTAGTGGCTGCAGCCTTCTTCCGGTGGATGTCTCATTTACGGGATCTCCAGCATTGAGTGCGAAGGAGGGGTTCCTGAAACTACCGGACACACCGGTATAACGACTCATACTGAGGGTTCGCAAATCATTTGGTCCTTGCATGGGGGCTTCCATGCAGCATCAGATATCAGTCCATTGCGTTATCAGCAGAGGCGAAGGTTTTCAAGATCCCCGACCAAATGAAGCTTTCACTTCCATGTAGAGAATCCCTGCCGTTCGCAAGCCAAAGCCATAACCACTGCATTTAAGTGCTTCGAAGAGGACTGCACCCTGTGCATTGAGCCCGATGCAAGCCTTCACAGTATTGTGCCGTGTTGCAGAGGGGCCATAACGAGGGCAGCGTTTAGAAGCCTTTTGTCAACGAGGTCCCATGCTATTGAGTTTCCCGCATTGTCTGATTTCCAACTTCCAGATATTTCGGTTGAAGCCAAAAAGGAATGAGACCGCGAGACTGTGGTAGAACTCTAGCCGAGCCGTACTTTGCCAGGACTCATCAGCACACCAGCCCATTTCTCTTGCGGCGAGGGCATTCCATTCTCCAAGCAACGACGATGCAGTTATTCGGCATTTGGACCAGCATGCAGGTCTTCATGTACGCGAGCTCATCATATATACAAAGCACTGGAGGAAGTCGCTTGATGATAAGTCGCTGACGTGGCTCAAATCAGCGCACATCGAGCTTGCGTGTCTTCAAGCAGTCAGAGATGTGGCTCCGGGTCAGGGATTTCAAATCACCTTTGGCCGCGTATTGACTTTGATTTCTCGTGGTCTGGAAAACTCCGACTTGCCGCAGGCGCTGACTGTCAAGGATTCCTACATGGATATCCCTGATAAGGCGGTTGAAGCCGTGAAGGTTCATGCAAAAAAGGCCTTGAGCAAGATGGGTTTGAAGGTCAAGGAGGGTGAGGCCTTCCTGTTTATGAAGCCATCGGAAATCCGCTTCACACAAGCCAAGTGCAGCCCGAACTTCAGAAACGGATCCCCTATTTCAGAGACGTACCGGCAGCTTGCAGATGGCTCCATCGAAAAACGTGATGTGGAAATGCTCCGGGTGGTAGAATGCAACCGCGATGGCAACATGTATAGTGTGGACAATCGGCGCTTGGCCGTCTTCAGATTGCTGGAGCAGAGTGGACATGCGAAGGTCGTGAAAGTCAGGGTCCTTGCCCGCAGCGAGCTTCATGAGGGTGAGTGGAAGAAAAAGTTTAGCACTGCCACAGATGGCCATAGCATAACAATATCTGGGCCTCAAGGCTGGACTGTGGGCATTCACAAGGAGGAGACCTCGTATCCTCTGGACTCTTGTGCGCCCGCAGGCCGTGATGATCACCGTGTTCATGACCTGTCTGTTCTGGATTCCGATGATGATGGAGAGGGAGTGCCCGCGACCAAAAAGAGAAAAGTCGACCAGGATAATTGAGACATACCTGAGGGGTACATGACCAGCTGGGAGCTTTGTGCCATGTGGGGTATGGGCCATCTCACAGAAGCACAGGCAGATGATATGTGGGACATTTTGGCCGGTTGCTCCTCGGATTGAGCTCCTGGTGAGGATCACCTGGCGGATGGTGGGGCAGTGGGAAATGTCACGCATTGGTGCGACCCTTCTTGTTTGTACCAGAGCCGGAGGAGAAGAAAGGTCCGAGTGAGGCGGCGGTACCACTTGTTGACTCCAACACTCCGATCAGCATCATTGCAAACATCTGACTGTGGTCTTGGTTGCTGCCACTAGCTATATACACGCCGTTATCAAGAAGAAAGCTGATGCTGCTTCTGCTGCTGCCTCGCTCTTCGTGCAGTCTCGCTTCTGCTGATTCTACTGGCACTGTCAAGCTTCCTCCTGTTGCACCAACTCCTGCCTTTAAGTAGCAGTGACATTGTCATGCCGTAAGATGGTTTCTGGTCATATAAACCCTGCCCTAATCATCCTACTCCCTAGACCCTTAACCCTATAACCCTAATCCCTAAACCGTACTAGGGGGTGGGGGGGCGGGGGGGTGCCAGGTTTCCTGTTAGAGGCTCTCGGCTATGCGTGCAGCAAGGATGTCTACGAGTCTGGGGAGAGGGCAGCCTTTTTGCCCTTAGCTGAAAGCTTTGGCTTTCAGTTTTTTTAAGCGTGAATGATTGGGCTTGGGGCCTGGGGTTAAATGTGTATAGATTCAGTGGCAAGCTTGCAATTGGGAGGTTGGAGCAATGATAATGCCAAAACAGGTTGGATTGTGGGAACTTGACTGGCTGGCAGGATACCTTCAATCTTCTAGATCAAGCCTGCCTACTCAGCTAGACCCTTTAACTGAGCTGACCGTCCTCCATTCAGGTTCTGGTATCGCAAGTACCAGCGCATCTCTCGACACGGAATGGAGATTTGGACCGCAATAGCCATTCAAAGTGCTTGTGCATGACTTGCAGCAGAAGGAGCATGATTGCGTCAGCAGTCGTGTGAGGTTCCTTCGCCGCTTTCTTTATTTCGTGTGTCACGTGCTCATGATAGCAGGACAATACAGTCGGTTCGAAATCATTACAACTCCTTGCGCAGAGTGTCAAATCCTTGACCACGTCAGTATTGGTTCACTGTCAACACTGGTCCATGCTACTACTATTATTCTGACTTCTGCTGCGGTGGTTCAGTTTATTTTGAAGTACAAATAAAGATATGTACTGCGGACTGCTTGATGGTTGCCATAACGCTCGGCGTCCAAGCATACATGCTTGTTTACGTTTAGGACCGTAGGGGTACGTAAAATACGCAAACACGCACACAAGCGCATGCAAGCATATGCTTTTTGGCACATGCCTGTGCGTGCATGTGCCGGTGACGTGGGGTATTCATGAATGAGGAAGTCTCAGCACGCCAGTATGTAGTTAATTGCCATATATCAACATGCAATTACCTTTCTTTGTTGTCGTGACCCCTAAGGGTTCCTTCAAGGGCCGGGTAGTAACCTACATGTTGGTATATAAGTGGAGCCCTCGGGTCAGTTTCGAGGCTTTTGGGTGCATCCAACATGCAGCGAGTTGCTTCGAAAGACTTGACTGGTTTAGGGTTCACGACTTTGGGTTTAGGATTTGGGGTTTCGGGTTTTTGGCTTTGGGTTTTGGATTTGTGGTTTAGGGTTTAGGGTTTATAGCGGTTGGGGTTTAGGGCTCTGCGTTTAGGATTTGGCATTTAGGGCGTTTAGGATTTGGGATGATTTGGGGCTTAGGGTGTAGAGTTCTGCCCTGACTTATAAGGCGTAGGTCGCGATCCTCAATTTTACGGCTACCCAAGCCATTCTCGCTGAGCCATCGTTCTTCTATTGGGCGACCGTTCCGGCTCGAATCCCCGTGCACACAGAGTTACTCATCGAATCTGATGTATTACAGGCCGCAGAGAAACATAAATCCAAGCCCCAAGCCCTGAACCTGAAGTCCACATACACTGAGCCACACTTCGTCCAAACCCCCCTAAAGGGCCCCTAACTTTTAATACTGAACGCTGACCTTTAACCCAGACCCTGCGACTTGAACTCGTGAATTTGAACCCTATAAGCCCCCCGGAACCTTAAAGCCTTCAACCTTGGACTATAACCGTAAGCCACATGCCTAAACCATCCTAAACCCCAAGCCGCAGCACAAGCCCTGTAATCCCTACGAGTCTAGGCGAACCCCTTAAAAAGTGCCTTGCCCTTGCCGAGGCCGACGAGTTTCGCTGGCTTCAGGTGCAAGACCCTGAAAGCAATTCTGACGCTTGAAAGCGCTGCTGAAGGCGTTTGTGTCAAGACGGCAGTGGCAAAGCTCCTCTGCAGAAGAAACCTCAACAGTGGGTCTAGAGGTAAGGGTTTTCGGTCATGGAAGTTTAACGTAAGACTAACCATCGGCATGCTTCTCGGCTAGTATTTTGTTTATCAAGCTTGGTCAGATATGGTCAGACATCAGACTACACTAGCGGCATTAGTCCTTTTGCAAGCCTTGGTGGAGCATTGAACGGCCGGCTGCTTTTTACATGCACGAGAATTCGAGCGTTTATCGATGCGTGGCTTGTTGGATTCCGTAAGCAAGAAGCCCTTCCCAAAGGGTCTCATATCATGTACTGTTATAATGGGGGATTCGTCCCTAAGTCATAATATCGGTACATAGGACCCTTTGGGCTTAACCTTAGTGGGCTGAACCCCAGTGGGTTTAGGGTTTAGGGTTTGGCACGTGCGGTGTCAGCCCGTGTGGGGGACTAAGCAACCCATGCTGACCCCTACCTGGACCCTAAGGAAACCTACTGTTTCAGGGATCCTGAATATGATTTCCTTATATGGGCCTGATGTAGCGGTTTCCTCTCAAATGTCCGACGCAGATGAAGGGAATGAAGAATATGACCGTGCTTATGCATGGCTTACGCCCGAAGCTGGTTCGCTGTTCGTTCTTCAAAAGCAGAGCGAGGTGATGAAAATTGTCATTTCAAAGGGCTTCTTCACAACCGCCGAAGACCTCAAACACTTACTGGTGAAGGGCGTTGAAGAATGGTTCTACAATAACCTTTTCGAAAGTGCCGAGGAAGGTTACACATTGGAAGATTATATCATTGAAGAAGAGAATGAGGCTTGGAATGATTGGGCACATGAGCTTGTTAATAGCGATGAGTGCCCGACAACAGGCGCTGATGCAGAGGAAGCAATGCGCTTCTACCACGCTTCACGCTACAATTTCTACTAGAAGTAGCTTCAAGCGTCGGAGATACAAAGCTGTTGTCCTACACCAGTGCCGATTTCACATCTGTTTGTTGCTCGTGAGCTTGTGAAGGACAATTTGAGCCACAGTTGTTTATCCATAGCAATTCGTGTTCAGAGCTTTCCCCCGCGCTTTCCTTTGTCACACCGACAATGTCCGGACCAGCTTCAAGCAGTGGCTACGCCGATGTCAGCATCTTGGAAAACACCACTCGTGATGTTCCCGTCCCACCGCCAGAGGATGTATCGTCCAACGCATCTGAAAACACGACGTCTTCGGAGTCAGAGGCTGAGGATGATGAAGCACGCAGTGATAAGAGCAGAGACAACGATGACGGCAAAGACATTGAACAAGGACGACAAGAACGATGAGGGTGGAAGTGTTACCCAGTCCTCGCCGGCTTCTCTTACCACCACAACGACTGTTGACTTCAGCAAGCTCTCGCAGAAGGACCTTGACGAGATGTTGCTGTCGATTGAGACAAAGATGAAAGACTTGAAGCTCAAGGAGGACAGCGCTAAGAAGCAGAAGCACGCCATCAACAAAGAGCTTTCCACCCGCAAGAATGATGAACACAAGAAAAAGTAGGACGATGACAGGAAGCTTGAAAGCGAGAAGAAGGAGGCGATTCGTGAAACCTCTTTCAGGGTCATCATGAAGCCCGTCGGCATTGAGAACTTCCCGAATTCCTTTGAGATTGAGATTGCCAACGGCGACTGCTTCCCTGACATCCGCAAGATCGCCGCCAAGAAGATGGGCATTAGCAACAAGAAGCTCAAGATGACAAGCCATGTTTTTGACTTGTCTGTCAATCCGAGGACCGCGATCGGCAAGCTGTTTTGTCCGTCAGACCAGACCCGCCCCGCAAGGTCAAGGCAGGTGATACTTTCAACCTGTCTGTCATTGCCAACGGCGGTGCCAAGAAGCGCAAGAGCAACGACGACATCTTCTTCGACCTGCCATCGAACCACGACGTGAAGGAAAACACAGATGACAAGGACCTTTGGGGAAGGGTCTTCAAGAATTGCACCGAAATCACAGAAAACAAGGAGTACCACACCGTGTCGCTCTTGAAGACGGTGGATAAAACCCACTGGGAGAGGTAGGATTCTGAGGGGTTTGGGGAAACCCTTCAAGCTCTGAAGGGTTTAGGGAAACCCTTCAGGCTCTGAAGGGTTGTGGGTTGAAGGTTTCGGGTTTAAGGGTTGAAGGTTTAGGGTTTAAGGTTTAGGGTTTAGGGCTTAAGGCTTAGGGTTTAAGGTTTAGGGTTTAGGGCTTAAGGCTTAGGGTTTAAGGTTTAGGGTTTAAGGTCTGGGGTCTAGGGTCTGGGGGATAAGGGTGTCTGTGTTTTCGCAGCACCATCTAGGCTCAAGTCGAGTTTCTGTCATTATTGTTCAGGTGCCTCTGTGAGTCATGAGCTGGGCTGACATGACAGAGGAGGCTGGGGCAAGACAATCAATGATAGTTGCAGAACAATAAAGGCTTACATGAGTTCTTGACAGGACTCAGACTGCCAAAGCTTTTGGGCTGCTTGCCAGTTATCCTGATTGTTTTTTCAAGAAGCAGTTGTTAAGCTAGGCCATGCAAACATCTCAGGCCGCCCTGTTGGAGACTGAGACTGAGCAAGTGGCTCGAATGCACATTTGAGTTAATGTAGTGTGTCAAAATCAAACGGGTTTAGGCTAAGATCCTTCTCCTTGCATACCAGGTCATGTGGTACTGGCCCCAGCAGCCAGCCCACGAGCACAGCAAGAAGGAGAGAAAGAAAAAGAAGCTTCAGGAGAAAGCTAAGCTGGAGAAAAAGATGGGGACCCTCGTCTAGCACCCTAAATTGTAGGATCCTTGCCTTAAGGTCCCCCAAATAAGCTACCTTGAATTTTCGGAAACTCCCGTATAAGGCCCTTCTATAACCCCCCAAGAACCTGTTTTTGGTTAGGTTCTTATAACAGGGCCCTAAAAAAGATAGGTTCTTTGGGGTTAAAGTCTGCCTTCGCAGCCACAGCGCGGAGCTCAAGGATCAGGGTTCGTAACCCACTGCAGCCTTAAGGGCCCATGTTCCCAAAGAGTCTATATTACGGGTTTCTTTAAGGGCTCCTGTTAGGGTTCCTAGAAGGTTCTTTAGGGTTTAGGGTTGAAGGGTCCATGTACCCAAGTTGCATACATTGGCCTCAAAAGTAGTCCCTACCTAGACCCTCCATCTACCCTCTATTGGACCCTAGATGCCCCTTATTTGAGGGTACAAGGAGGGTCCTGGTACATAGGTACTTCGGGGCCGAAGTATATCTATAGTTTGCAGACATGGAGCCTTCGACTGCCTATAGTCTCCATTGCAGTTCCTGTTTTTGGGATTTTTGGATTACCTTATAGGGTCCTCTATATACATATGGTTAAATCCAAAAAGGAACTACAGCGAAGGAACTACAGTGGAGACTGTAGGTAGACTAGGTTTCAGTCCGGAAGCCGAACTCCAGCAAAGCGCAGCGGTACAGAATCGGCAAACTTTGGCGACCCCGAGGCCCCAAAATGGCAACCGAATCCCAACTAGGGTTTAGTTCTCTAGTTGGGATTCTAAGGGTTGAGGGTTCAGATCTCTAATTGGGGGGTTTAGGGTTGAGGGTTTAGTTCTCTAACAGAGATTCTAAAGGCTTAGGGTTCCGGGTTTAGTTCTTTAGCTTGGTTTCGCAGGGCTTTGTGTTTGGGGTTGAGTTCTCTGATTGGGATTCCAAGTACGGCACCCTCATAAACAGGACGTTAAAACGGATCCCGCAGTTCGGAGAACTACCCGTATTGATAGGAGGGTGTCCATGTCTGGGTGAGTTACCTATAGTCTCCAATGTAGTTCACAAATACAAATAAGGATCCTATGAGGTAACTCCTAAAAGGAATGTGTGGTTGTCAAAATTATGGTCCCTTTTGGGGTCCTTATTAAAATACGGCACCTTATATTTAGGGTACCCAAAAAGGAACCCTAATTTTGACAACTACCCGAATTGCAATGGAGACCATAGGCAGAGTTTATAGGGTGAGTTACCCATAGCCTCCAATGCAGCTCCTTTTTATGGTTTTACCAAGTATGATAAGGATCCTATAAAGTAACTCCTAAAAGGAATGGCTGCTTGTCAAAATTATGGTCATTTTCGGGGTCCTTATAAATAAAACGGCACCTAATATTTAGGGTGCCCCAAAAGCGACCCCAATGTTGACAACTACCCGAATTGCAATGGAGACCGTAGGTAGAGTTTATAAACCCTAAAGCCCTAAACCCTAAACCTTTAAACAGTAAACCCTTAAACCCTAAACCCCTAAACCCTTCGTGGGGTTAGGTGAGGGGCCTCCTGAGCCTTGCCCTGTGGCCGTGCAGCCTCCTGTTCCCTGCAATGGCCTCAGCCCACCACGGTTTAGGGTTTAGGGGTTTAGGGTTTATAGGGTTTTTAGGGTCTATTGGGGTTTATAGGATTTGGGGTTTACGGTAGAGGGTTCAGCGTTTGGGGTTTTAGGGGTTTAGGGTTTATCGTGCTTTAGATACCGGGGCTGAGGGACCGCAAGAAAAAAACAAGCATGAACCTTCCAGGCAGTTCAGGGTTTAGGGTTTGGGGTGTTCAGGGTTTGCGGGCTTAGGGGTTTAGGGTTTAGGGGTTTGGGGTTTAAGGTGTTCAGGGACGTTCATATCGAAATATCGAACTCTAAGAAGACCCCTACAGCACCGTGTACCTTCAAGCCAGTGGCTTCAAGGGCAGGTAAGTGGCCGCCAAGTCAGCCGCCGAAGGTAACTCCCGCATTGGTTTACTGCACAGGACAATGTCTCAGACTGCACAGTGCGAGCACAGAGGGTCGGAGCAGGTTCGCGACAGTATTCACTGTTTAATAAGTTTGGGCTTTAGTGTTAAAAGGCTTTTGGTCTTAGCATCCAGGGAGTTTGAGCTCAACGGCTTGCAATTTATGAAGCTTGGCTAGTCATAAGCTCCCAAAGTCCAGATGAGCTCGTGCAGGTTTAGTAGGTACACTGGTCTTCTGCCCTCAATTCCTACCTACT